CAAAGCATTTGCCTGTGTCAGGTGCAGATCTGAGTTGTAGGATGGGGAAGCACCAGCTGAGGTTTTCCAGGTCTGTGTGTCTCATTGATAGACACATGGATAGTTATGGGGAAGAAGATAATTTATTAAAGGAGACAGACAGACAAGCTTGGAAGTGTACCAGAGCTGGACCATAGCCCTGTTCCAAAAGACCCACAGAGATGGCGCCCCTGGGTCCTTGTATGACTCATTTGCATATCACGCATATGTATATATGCAGGCCTTTAATCTGTTAGTCCTTAGAATCTCCTCCTCTCTATTCCCATTTTTTATTTTTTTAATCTATTATTTTTATTTTATGTGTATGCGTGTATTGCCTGCATGTAGGTAAGTGCACCCATGTTGTGCAATGCCCACAGAGGACAGAAGAGGCTGTCAGATCCCCTGGAACTGGAGTTACGGACAGTTGTTAGCTGCCATGTGGGTGCTGGGATTCAAACCTGGGTCTTCTGCAAGAACAACCAGTGCTCTTAACCACTAAGCCATCTCTCCAGCCCATTCCCGTTTTTTCTTATCTCACTAGGAAGGACCCCATAGGCCAGATAGGCTAAGACTTGCTATGTCCCCACCCCTGCCCAGCTGACATTGGCATCTTCAGCCTGGGGGCTGAGCCCTGTCCCAACAGTGGGGTCTGGGGAAGCTGAGCAATTTCTATTGTGCCTGAAAAGAGAAGTCTGTCAACTTTAATCACAGACCAGGAGGACCTGAAACACCTTGTGGTTCAACACCCAACTTTGTGCCATGGGGGTGGGGAGGTGGGGGGATGTCTGAGGGTGGGTCAGAAGATTCTAAGTTCGAGACTCCTGGCTGGCTCACCAAAATTGCTACTGGAGTTATTCGGGTCAAAGCCTGGGCCCTGGCAGCCCTAATAAACCAGGCTCCACCACCTTTCCTCAGTGAGCCAATGTTTTTAAAAAAGGAATAGTAAAAGGGAAATTTATCCATCGTGATCACACTGGGAAGCAGGACAAAGAGGTCCAGTGACCCCCTAAGTTCATCTGTGGGGTCCTGACATGATGTTTATGTTGAAGTGGAAGGCAAGAGGTATGTATGGCCAAGCTGTCCTAGTCAAGGTGTTCATCATCGTCATCGGGCTCCATCGTTCTGTCCTGCAAGGTGGTCTGACAAGTCATCAGTCCTGCGTGAAACCTCTTCCTGGAGACAAGGTCCTCCTCTGGCCACCACGAGGCTTCAGACGTCTCCTGCTCCCAGCATGAGACTCCTGGGAGGGATCCCATTTCTTGGGGACCATTGCGTCACCAGTTTGATAGGCAAAGAACAGACTTGTTTCTGCCAGTCTGGTCCCTTTGCCACCCAAGCCACATCAGGCATCTCATTACTGGGGACCCAACCTCACAACCCAACCTCACCAGCCACAGTTTGGACTTCCCCTCACTACTTCCTGTGCACCTCAGTTGTGTTAGCCATCTACCCTCAGCCCTCAGGTGCTGGCCTCAGGGAAAGCCCTGGTCACCCACAGCCCTCCTTCCTTCCTGTGGACAGAGCTTCCAGTCCAAAATTGAACTCAGGCAAAAGCAGAAAGCTGTTTCCTGGCCCTCAGATCATCCTAGTGAAGGTCGAACCAGAGTGAATCCAGCCTGTAGCCCTCTTTGATGTTATGACAGGATGGAGTGGATCTGAGGACAATCTAGATGTCCATGTCCATGTACAGCCAGCCCCTGGTTTGTGATGGTTCAACTTAAATTCTTCCATGTGACTATAGTACTTTCACAGGCTTTCCATAGAAACTGCAGCTTGATTGTGACCTTGAATCTCGTTGGCTGGTGCTATGTGGCTCCGTCCTTTCTCCCGATGCTGGATAGAGGCAGCCAGCTCAGGTCCCAGCCAGCCACACAATCAGGAGGATGAACCATTGATGCCATGTGGGTTGGAATCCACAGCACCCTGGCTGTGACCATTGGCAGGTGAGGTGTATTCAACCTACACAGCACCTCAGGTGTGGCCCTGCCTCAAAGTCTGTCGTATCTCTCGCTGGCACTGTCATCCTTTTATGGATGATGAAAGCCAGCTCCAGAGGTCAAATTGCACCCAATGTACCCGGGTCACTGCCAGAAAGGGAGGGGTCTCTGAAGTCACACTCTGTCCCTAATCAGTCTCCCCATTTGGATTGAAATTCAGAGCAAGGCCAAGGAGGATGTTTTGAGACAAGGTCTGCCTGTAGCTTCCAGCTAGCCTGGAACCCACTATGTAGACCAGGCTGGCCTCGATCTCACAGAGATCCGCCTGCCTCTGCCCTTCTGAGTGCTGGGATTAAAGTTGTGCCACCATGCCAGGCAGAAAATGTGAAGTCCAGTTTTTTTTTTTTTTAATTTTTTAAAAATTTTATGAGTGTATTACCTGCAAGTATGTGAGTGCACCTGTGTTGTGCAATGCCATGGAGGTCAGAAGAGGACTTCGGATTCCCCTGGAACTGGAGTTAAGTACCATGTGGGTCCTCTGCAAGAGCAGTCAGTGCTCTTAACCACTAAGCCATCTCTCCAGCCCTAATTAATTTTTAAAATAGAGTTCCTTTAAGGGACAAGTTCTCTCTTCAGATCCATCCTAAATAACCTGCTCCCAAACATAAAGTTGTAAGAAATCACTGTTTTTCCTACTGTGGAAATTAGAAATAATTCTGTATTAATTCTGTATTCTGTAAAAAGAAAAAAATAATTTAAGCAAAATGTGTAATACCCCTGGGCTGGACAGCATCACTTGTCAAACTAACACACATGGGTAGATGAAACTTCAATTTTGGAATTTCCTCCATTGGATTGGCCTGTGGCCATATCTGTGGGGCATTTACTTGATTGCTGAGTGATGTGGGAGGAACCAGGGCCCAGCCCACTGTGGGCAGTGCCACTCCTGGGCAGGTGGGCCTGTGTGCTATAAGAAAGCAGGCTGAGCACAGGTCAAAGGAGTAAGCCGGTAAGCACTTTCCTCCATGGTCTGTGTTTCAGTTCCTGCCTCTAGGTTCCTGTCCTGAGCTCCCGCCCTGACTTAGGTGACAAACTGTGACCTGGGAGATATAAGATAAAATAAACCCTTTCCTCCCAAGTTGATTTTGGTTGGTGTTTTTAAGATTTTTAAAAAATTATTATTTTTTGGTCTTTTTGAGACAGGGTCTCCCTGTAGTCCCACTCCCTGGAACTCACTATGTAGACCAGGCTGGCCTTGAACTTATTTTTATTTCATACGTAAGAGTGGTTTGCCTGCATGTATACAAGTGCATCCATGTCATTCAATGCCCGTGGAGGTCAGAAGAGGGTGTAGGAGCCCCATTGGATCCCCTGGAACTGGAATTACAGATGGTTGTTAGCTGCCATGTGGGTGCAAGGATTCGAACCTGGGTCCTCTGCAAGAGCAGCCAGTGCTCTTAACCACTGAGCCATCTCTCCAGCCCCTTGGTCAGTGTTTTTAATCACAACAATAGAAAGCAAACTAGGACAATACCTTACAATAAAAATTAAAAAATAAAAAGAAATGAAATGTCCTTTTTAAACCACTGAGATTTGGAGCATTAATTTGTTATTGCAGCACAAACTGGCTTATCCTGACTAAGGCACGGGGTATAAACAAGGGTTTTCACAGCTTCACAAGCAGCTGTCAGCACAACTCCTCTAAGATGAGAAACTTCAGATTAAAAAACCTGTACCTAGCAGGCTGGACAGATGGCTCAGTGGTTAAGAGTACTGGCTACTCTTGCAGAGGACCAGGTTCAAGTCCCAACACCCACATGTTGACTTACAACCATCTGTAACTCGTTCCAGGGGATCCAACACCCTCTTTTGGCCTCCTTGGGTATTGCATGACACAGGTACACTTACATACATGCAGTCAAAACACACATATAAAATAAAATCTTGTGTGTATGTGTACATATGTGTACCCACAGAGGCCAGAAGTGGGCATCAGATCCCCTGGAGCTAGAGTTACAGGCATTTGTGAGTGGGCCACTGTGGGTGCTGCATCAGAACTCCAATCCTCTGACGGAGCAGTAAGCACTCTTAACCCCTGAGCCATCTCTCCAGTCTCTAAAAATGGAATTTTATAATATTCAATCTAACACATATAAGACATGTGGGAAACAGGGTACTGCCTGTCAACCCAAAGGGATGCCTAGGCTCTGCCACATCTGGTTCCGATGTACTGCTTGGCCCTCGGTTTCCTGATCTAATCCCTGGGGTTCTGGGGCACCCAGTTTCCAGAGCTGGGGCCAGAGATGAGCATGTGGAGCCACCCTTCCATTGAGAGATCCAAGATTCAGAGTCACTTGACACAACACACACATCAGTGGAGTGCCTTTTGTGTTTGAGTGCATGCATTTGTGTGTGTGAATGCAGGTGCATGCATGTCACGGCATGCATGTAGGAGTCAGAAGACAAACTTGGGATGATCCTTACCTTCTACTTTGAGGCAGGATTTATTTTTTGCTGCATAAGCAGACTAGTTGGCCCATGAGCTTCCAGAATTCTCCTGTCTCCATTTCCCATCTCTTCCATAGGATCTGATACTTGTAGCATCTGGTTTTTATGTGGATTCTGGGGATTTGAACTCAGAACATCATGCATACAATGCAAGGGCATTTACCCACTGAGCCATCTCCTCAGTCCCAACACCTTAACATTGACCTTGATTCCCACCTGTCTGATGGACAGCCATCTATTCAGAGCTGGGAGCTTCAGGAAAAACAAAAAACAAAAAAAAAAACAAGATTTCTGAGCTGGGTGTGGTGGCTGGAGGATCAGAAGTTCAAGGTCATCTTTAGCTACACAGTGGGCACCAGGCCAACCTGGACTATGTGAGTCCCTGTCTCAAAAAACAAAATCAGAAATCTATCACACTCCCTCCCACTGATGGGTGTACACTGCCAGGTAGCCAGGGTCATCCTTAGGCAAAGGGGGACCCGGCTGAGGCCAGGACACCTGGACACCAAGCGACAAGCAGGAAAAACAGGCACATGTGGGAACTACAGAGCCCTAAGCTTTATTTTCAAACTAGTCACAGCATCCCCTTACCCTCCACCCTGGAGTTCCTACTTTCTAGACCCCAGGAAGCAGGGCTAGGCTTTGGCCTCCCACCTGCCCAACCCCAGAGAGCAAGCACAGCCACCCCCACGTCAGGCTTCTGCCTTATCTTGTCCGCTTCTGTCTCTCAGGTGCTGCCTCCTCAGGAGAGGCTGGCAGGAAGGCTCATCCTCCAGTGGTCAGTCTTCAGAGCCTTTAGTGAAGGTTGTGGAGTTGGGGAACCAGGGGCTCTGACCAGATCAGAGTGGGCGGTGGGACCCGTGCTGGCAAGGCCTAGAAGGTGAATGAACGGGGAAGTGTTGGGGGGGCCACTGTGGGACGGATGAGTGAGGAAATGTCAGGGAGCTACTGGGGGAAGGTGAGACCCAGTTCTAGCCTCAGCTCCTCCCCCACCTCAGATGGTTCCTGGATAGGTGGAGTGGAATAGGTGGTGAGGGGTGGGAGTCAAGGGACATACCTTGTCAGGACCTGGGATCCCTTGTCAGGGCTAGGACCCCTTGCCAGGACCTGGGCTCCCCATCTCAAAGGGATCTGTCCCACCCGGACACCTGCCCCTCACCCCACGTTGGGACACACCCTGGATCCTACCAGACGAGATGGGGTGGCAGCCGACAGATGCTGACTTTGTAGCTCATGGACAGAAGACCAGAGGTCTAGGCTCTTGGAGGCAGAGCTTTTCTCAGACTTCGGAGGGAAGGTGTCCCAGCCCAGCAGACAGTGCTGCAGGGAGCAAAGGGTTAAAGGCATCTCCCCATCCCCAACCAGGGAGGAGGCCCCCTGAGCAGTCAGGACCTCCCCTCCCAGGAGCAACAGCTTACCACTGCTTACCTGAGGCTACTCCCATCTCCTGTCCCTGTTGATCTGGCCACCCCAGCCCATTCCAAGATGGATGAGGGGATCCGGAGCCTTTCCCACACTTGGCCCTGGACACCCAGCTTGCATGACTGTGCCCCCAACATTCCTGCAGTCGGTCCCTTTCTACCCACTTTACAGAGGAGCCAAGGGACTTTCCTCTCTTCTCCTCCCCCAGTTACAGCTACTCTGATCTCAGCCAGGGTGAGCAATATGCTCTTGATTCCTGTCCTGACTAGGAAATGGGAGGCATGACGGAAACATTAAGGTCTGAGATCAAATCCAGCTCTGCCTCAGTGTCCCCATGTGGGGGCAGGTCAAACAAAGGCTGTTGTGGGCTGTAGGGAATAGTCTTCCTAAGAGCCCAGCAAACAAGTCTCATATGCAGGCCACCCATCCTGGATACCATGTGAGAGATAGGTACCATACCTGCCCAGGGACTGAGCCTGGCCCAGGTGATGGCAGAGCACCCAAGAGCCTTGATGCCAACCTTCTTCCTCAAGACCAGCTGCACCGTAAGTCCCTCCCAGAGCCTCAGACCTGCCTGCAGCTTCTCAGGGCAGGAAGCTTACCTGAGGCAGAGCCAGTGTGTCTGAGGCGTCAAAGCTCTTCCGTCGGTGAATTCGGTACCGGTGTGGGGGGTCCAGGATGGACACTGGCATGCTCACCCTGTTTCAGAGGGCACAGTCTTAAAACTAGCAGGAGCCAGGTTCTGTGCCCTGCCCCCAGCTACCACTATCCAGTGAGACCCTTGGGGGTCCCAGTGCTCTGTTCACTCACCTGACCTGGGCTGGATTCACCAAGCTCTCATTGTCCCTCTGGCCCCGAGGTATCCCACACAGGTGGCAGGGGGCACCAGGATCCACTGGCACAGGAAACAGGCGTCGGTTGATACGGTAGCAGTACACACCTGTGAGGCCCATGAGACACCACAGTTACCTAGGAGCCAGGGGGCCTGGCTGTCCCCAGTTACACAGACCACCAACCATTGAGGCCTACACCTGAGTGAACTTTTTCCCAGCCCCTTCCCTCCCAGGATGTGGGGTTCATACTCAAAGGCAAAGATAAGTGTCCTCTTGGGGACTCTCAAGGCTAGACCCAGCCAGCTCCGAAAGCTGCTAGAGAGAGGATGGTCACACAGGGCAGGACCCCAGAGCCCCAGGCTAAGCTCAGTCCCCTGTCAGGGTGGTTCCCTCACTGTCCAGACCCCAGGCTTCCCTTCCAGCACCCGTGCATGACCTTGACTTGGGGGATAGGCCCAGGCAGAGTAAAGATGGATCACCACTGGTGATGCTGGAAGCCTATACTCACACTGGTGGCCCTCCTCCATGCCACTGCTGTCTTGCAGGCCTGGGAACACAGCTCTGAGAGGTGGAGAAAGGATTAGCAGGCCAGTAGATGGCGTCTCCCAGCCACCCTCCCCATCCCCTGCTCACTCAGGAGAGCTGCACACACAGTCCTCTTTGTTGGTTTCCCGAAACTTCTGCAGCGTCGAAAAGAAGGCCTCAGGCTCACTGGTGACCTGAGAACGATTGTCCAGGGACCCTGGTGTAGACAAAAAGTGGGAGAGCTGAGGACACAGGCTAGGGTCCTGCCTCGCCCCTGGGACCCACCACTGTGAGTACCCGCTATGTTTCCGCACAGGAAATACAAACTCTCAGAACCTACTAGGTGCCACACACTTATTTTTTGACCTAGAAATAGCTATGTCAACCAGGCTGGCCTCAACTCACAGAGATCTGTCTGCCTCTGCCTCCTGAATGCTGGGATTAAAGGCATGTACCCCCACTCCTGGTTTATTTTTGTTTCTGAGACAAAGTCTCATGTAGCCCAGGCTAGTCTCCAGCTCAGTATTTTTGCCTCCACCTCTCCAGAGCTGAGGTTACAGGCATGCACCACCATGCCTGGCTCACACCCTGTGTCCAGAGAAAGGCAGTACGCTGGACAAGGTCCCCACTCTCACGATTCTGCATTCTAAATGGATGACAGACGAGTTAGTCACCCAAGAACTCTGTGATTTAAAACTGACACTTGGGGGCTGGAAAGATGGTTCAGTGGTTAAGAGCACTGACTGCTCTTGTAGAGGACCTGGGTTCAATTCCCAGCACACACATGGTGACTAACAACCGTCCATAACTCCGGTTCCAGGGGATCCCACACCTTCTTCTGCTGACCTCTGCAGGCATTGCATGACACAGGTGCACTCACACACATGCAGGTAATATACTCATACACATTAAAAATAAAATACATAAAAATATTTTTAAAGGCCGGGCGTGGTGGCTCACGCCTTTAATCCCAGCACTCGGGAGGCAGAGGCAGGCGGATCTCTGTGAGGTCAAGGCCAGCCTGGTCTATATAGTGAGTTCCAGGTCAGCTGGGGCTACAGGGAGACCCTGTCTCAAAAAGACCAAAAAA